ATAAACAGTCAGTTCAAATGTGAATATTCATTTGATTTTTATACTTGATTTATATGTGGATACCACATTTCTCTCTTTATTATTATTATTTTTAATAAAATGCTGAAGTGGTAGGTAGATACATGATAAAGGTAGAAAAAGTTTAGTGAAAACCCATATTTTTTTAATCTTCAAACTTTTTCACACTGGTTCTCAAAAGAACATTTTCACTCAAATTTCCACAGTACTTTTTCTTGCCTTTTTTCTTTCATTTTAATATTTTTTATTTGTATTTTCATATTTAAAATAATTTCTTTAAAGACGAGAATATTTTGGTTTTTAACTATTATTTATAACTTCTTGGCATAGTTTAATTTGAACTTGAAATTCCTTCAAGTTCTGTTTTCCTATAAATAATTAAAATTCTTATAAAATTGTAAAGTAATTAAAATTCTTGAAGTGAGTCTCTTTAGGCAGCTTTGTTAGACTATTTTGAGTTATTTTATTTTGAGTATTTAAATTTAATTAAAAAACCTTTACATTCCATATATTAATTGTTTGACCTTCTAGTTCATCAGAATTATGGGAAATGGTGCTGTATAGTCACATATAAACTGAGCACTTACATATAGTTCCTCCCTTCAAAGAGCATTGTAAATAGCAGATGAAATGATTTGCCCATGTAATTAAGGGTTATACGTTAATAGTTTTCTAATGCATGACTGAACTGCTACTGAAGTGGCCTTTTTAATCTTTCGTCTTAGGGCAAAGAAAAAGGTGATACCTGCACCTAAACCCAAAGTGAAGGTGAGTATTGAACCAAATCTTTAATTAGTCATAACTGGTGAATGTTAAAATACGGTCAAGATATGATGCAAAAGATAATATGGTACTTAGCACAGATCAGTATGTACCATACTTCTCAGGTGGGTGTTTTCAAACTTTGAAAATCCTAAAACCATTGTATTTGGAAAATGGATGACTGTGTAGCAGTGGGAAGTTTGCATATATTAACTGAATTATAAAACTTAATACTATGTGGAAAGATTAGGTAGAATATAAAAGATATCCTTTAAAAGTGTTGCTGAGATTGCAAATATGTAAGAGAAATATATAAAGCCCCAAACAAAGAAGAAACTGCCAGGGTGTTAATCTGTCACTAAATTTTGGTTGCTTTTAGGAGCATTTGCTGATTTCTATCTATCACCTTACAGTTTAAGATTTCTTTTCAGTGCATAACAGGTTGAGTCTTCTAGAGCACCATATAGGCTGAGAATTCAAATGAAACTCTGCTTAACCTGGGACCCTCCAAGGATAGCGTCTTTAGTAAAAGAAAGGACTAAAAAAGAAATCCATTCACCAGCAGAAAGATTGAGAAAAGTGTGTGTATTGGCCTGGGTTCTAGATTTGGGGAAGAGTCCCCCCTGAGAATTTTCGCTGGTTTAGTAGGAGTTTAATTTACACTATTTGCGTGATCTGCAAAAAACTTAAGCTAAGAAAATAACTTGAAGTTATTAGATTAGTCTATATTATAGACTAGTCTAGACAATATTATATGTCACCAATACAATTTTAAAAGGATGGAGAGGGAACCTATAGATTAATAGAATTAAGATAATTATTAGATTAATACTCTTATTAATTAGAAAAATTATTGGATTATTACTATAAACTCATTTGATTAGTATTAAACTATAAAATCATTTGATTAGTATTAAACCACTTGGCAAATCAGACTCTCTCTAGAATAATGTACCCGCATCCCAGACCTCACAGGCTTATCACATGTGCCATGTCAAACATGAGTTTACAATTTGAGAGTTTAAAATTTGAGCGAGTACATGAGGAAGTAAAGTAAGTTACTGTGAGTGAGAGTCAGTGGAAACAACCAGCTACTAATTTAATTTAAGAATTCAACAACTGATCTAATTTAAGAATTAAATCCTTGAGGGCAAGTGATGTATTTATTAGGTTTAAAACAAAGTAACTTAAATTTTCTAAAAAGTTGATTTTGGTATCATTAATCTATAATTACATGAGTAACATTAAGTTTACTAGACTTCTCCCATCATCAAGTCCCCCCCACATACCCCACTACAGTCACTGTCCATCAGCATAGTAAGATGCTATAGAGTCACTACTTGTCTTCTCTGTGTTGTACTGCCTTCCCTGTGCCCCTACCACCACATTATGTCTGCTAATCGTAGTGCCCCTTTTTTTCCCCTTATCCCTCCCTTCCCACCCATCCTCCCCAGTCCCTTTCCCTTTGGTAACTGTTAGTCCATTCTTGGGTTCTGTGAGTCTGCTGCTGTTTTGTTCCTTCAGTTTTTTTCTTTA